CTCAAGGCTAGCTCTCTACCACTTGAGCCACAGCACCACTTCTGGCTTCTTTGGTTTATGTGGTACTGAGGAATCGAACCCAGGGCTTCATGCATGCTAGGCAAGCACTATACCACTAAGCCACCTTCCCAGGCCATGCCTCACCTTTCGAGCATCTCCTGATACTTACCTTCTCTGGCTTTTCTTTCAAAATCTTTGACTTTTAAAACACCTCCTTTTTCATAATCTGAAATGAGACAAAACAGGAACTGGTATCTAAAAGCCTTGAAGGAAACAAGAAATTATTGCAAGTGTGATTTTTAAAAATTAGCACACATAAGCTATACAAGGTATGTATGGGGTTTTCATTGTGCTATTTCCATACATATATACAATGTATTCCAACTACCCCTCATATCTCCTCTATCCCTCCGTCTTGCCATCCTCCCCCTTCTAAAACAATTCCAGTAAATTTTATTATTACGATTACTATTACTAATATTATTGCCAGTCCTGGGGCTTGAACTCGGGAACTTGGTACTATCCCTGAGCTTCTTTTGCTCAAACCTAGACCTCTACAACTTGAGCTACAGTGCCACTTCTTTTTCTGAGTTGAAAGTCTCATAGACTTTCCTACCTAGGCTGGCTTTGAACTATGATCCTCAGATCTCAACTTCTTGAATAGCTAGGATTACAGGTTTGAGCCACCAGCATACAGCTCCTTATTCTATTTTTGTGTATGTATATATTCAAATTTTGTGATTCTTTTTATGACAAGATTCCTGTGTGTGCTAGTATTTGGGCTTAAACTCAAGATCTCATGAAAACAGCCTAGATAAACAAATCAGAGAGACTCTTATCTCCAATTAACCAGCAAAAAGCCATTAGTGGGAGAGGGTCATCCTTGAGTGAAAAAAACAAAGCAAGAGCAAGAGGTCCTGAGTTCAAGCTCCACTACTGACACACACAGACACACACACACACACAGTCTAACACAGAATTTGATCTCAATAAAGATGTAAACAGAAAGACTTCCTGTACAGTAATTTAGGTCATCCTCTAGCTAGTTTTATTTGCCCTCCAACTATAGCGGTTGATCCATCAATAGTGCTGAATAGAGCCAAGTGATCACTCCAGTACAGCCCTGCAAACCCTCCTCTTAACCTTCCCCACCACCGACAGCCCTGACCACTCTCCTTTCTGGCATGACACCAAGGATGCACTCACCAATCATGTGTGTGTCAGCAGCTCGATCATAATAGTAAGAGAAGGCATAGAAGGATTTTCTCTTGATCTCCTCTGGCTGATGAAGTCTGCCTTGCACCACTCTCAGCACTTCAGCATAGCAGGGCTCAAAGCCCATCACCCCTGCAAGGGCAGAAATGGACAAAGGGAAGGGGAAAATAATGACAGCTCTCAAGTAAGCTCCTGGAGCCAATGAGGATCACATGAGTGGTCACATGAAGACCAAGGCCTGAATCCAGAAGCTCACAACAAAGGTTTAGAGCAAAGGTGAACAAGTTCCTATAACCTCACTGCTACGCTATAAGTTATCTCCCTTCCCTAACTCTGCTCACCAAAGACAGTCAAGCCACAGTCATTATTTTTTGTTTGTTTGTTTTTTGGGCCGGTTGTGGGGCTTGAACTCTGGGCCTGGGCGCTGTCCCTCAGCTCTTCAGCTCAAG